GCCAAACGTTCATAACATCTGCATCTGCTCCTGCAATAGGTTTTTCACCTAGCGGTGCATCAAGGACATAATTCTTCTGTGCAGCAATGAGGATAAACCTCAGATCACGGATCCAATCCGCATTATTGCTACTAACATCTTTCAACTTAGTTTTCTCTAGAAACATATCAAAAATAAAACAGGGGAGCTAAACGCGAGCTATTGATCTACAACATTGATATGCTAATACTACCATGACTAAGTTCATGATAAATTTAAGTTCAATTAATCATATTACTTAAGAACTCCCACTTAGATAGACATCTCTCTAATCCTCTAAGTGATCACGTGATCCATATCAACTAAACCATAACCGATCATCACGTGAAATGGAGTAGCTTTCAGTGGTGAACATCACTATGTTGATCATATCTACTATATGATTCATGCTCGACCTTTCGGTCTCAGTGTTCCGAGGCCATATCTGCATATGCTAGGCTCGTCAAGTTTAACCTGAGTATTCTGCGTGTGTAAAACTGGCTTGCACCCGTTGTAGATGGACGTAGAGCTTATCACACCCGATCATCACGTGGTGTCTGGGCACGACGAACTTTAGCAACGGTCCATACTCAGGGAGAACACTTTTATCTTGAAATTTAGTGAGAGATCATCTTATAATGCTACCATCAATCAAAGCAAGATAAGATGCATAAAAGATAAACATCACATGCAATCAATATAAGTGATATGATATGGCCACCATCATCTTGTGCTTGTGATCTCCATCTCCGAAGCATCGTCATGATCACCATTGTCACCGGCGCGACACATTGATCTCCATCGTAGCATCGTTGTTGTCTCGCTGATCTTATGCTTCTACGACTATCGCTACCGCTTAGTGATAAAGTAAAGCATTACAGGGCGATTGCATTGCATACAATAAAGCGACAACCATATGGCTCCTGCCAGTTGCCGATAACTCGGTTACAAAACATGGTCATCTCATACAATAAAATTTAGCATCATGCTTTGACCATATCACATCACAATATGCCCTGCAAAAACAAGTTAGACGCCATCTACTTTGTTGTTGCAAGTTTTACGTGGCTGCTACGGGCTGAGCAAGAACCGTTCTTACCTACGCATCAAAACCACAACGATAATTTGTCAAGTTGGTGATGTTTTAACCTTCGCAAGGACCGGGCGTAGCCACACTCGGTTCAACTAAAGTTGGAGAAACTGACACCCGCCAGCCACCTGTGTGCAAAGCACGTCGGTAGAACCAGTCTCGCGTAAGCGTACGTGTAATGTAGGTCCGGGCCGCCTCATCCAACAATACCGCCGAACCAAAGTATGACATGGTGGTAAGCAGTATGACTTATATCGCCCACAACTCGCTTGTGTTCTACTCGTGCATATGACATCTACGCATAAAACCAGGCTCGGATGCCACTGTTGGGGAACGTAGTAATTTCAAAAAAATTCCTACGCACACGCAAGATCATGGTGATGCATAGCAACGAGAGGGGAGAGTGTGATCTACGCGGTTGATGTAGTCGTACGTCTTCACGGTCCGACCGATCAAGTACCGAACGCACGACACCTCCGAGTTCAGCACACGTTCAGCCCAATGACGTCCCCCGAACTCCGATCCAGCCGAGTGTTGAGGGAGAGTTTTGTCAGCACGACGGCGTGGTAACGATGATGATGTTCTCCCGACGCAGGGCTTCGCCTAAGCACCGCTATAGTATTATCGAGGTGGACTATGGTGGATGGGGGCACCGCACACGGCTAAAAGATCAAACGATCAATTGTTGTCTCTAGGGTGCCCCCCTGCCACTGTATATAAAGGAGCAAGGGGGGAGGTGCGGCCGGCCAGGAGGGGCACGCCAGGAGGAGTCCTACTCCCACCGGGAGTAGGACTCCCTCCCTTTTCCTTGTTGGATTAGGAGTGGAGGGGGAAAGAGGAGGGAGAGAGGAAGGAAAGGGGGGGCGTCGCCCCCCTCTCCTTGTCCTATTCGGACTAGGGGGGAGGGACGCGCGGCCCTGCCCGCCTCTCCTCTTCTCCACAAAGGCCCACTATGGCCCATTAAGCCTCCGGGGGGTTCCGGTAACCCCTCGGTACTCCGGCAAAATCCCAATTTCACCCGGAACACTTCCGATATCCTAATATAGGCTTCCAATATATCAATCTTCATGTCTCGACCATTTCGAGACTCCTCGTCATGTCCGTGATCACATCCGGGACTCCGACAACATTCGGTACATCAAAACTCATAAACTCATAATATAACCGTCATAGAAACTTTAAGCGTGCGGACCCTTCGGGTTCGAGAACTATGTAGACATGACCGAGACACGTCTCCGGTCAATAACCAATAGCGGAACCTGGATGCTCATATTGGCTCCCACATATTCTACGAAGATCTTTATCGGTCAGACCGCATAACAACATACGTTGTTCCCTTTGTCATCGGTATGTTACTTGCCCGAGATTCGATCGTCGGTATCTCAATACCTAGTTCAATCTCGTTACCGGCAAGTCTCTTTACTCGTTCTGTAATACATCATCCCGCAACTAACTCATTAGTTGCAATGCTTGCAAGGCTTAAGTGGTGTGCATTACCGAGAGGGCCCAGAGATACCTCTCCGACAATCGGAGTGACAAATCCTAATCTCGAAATACGCCAACCCAACAAGTACCTTCGGAGACACCTGTAGAGCACCTTTATAATCACCTAGTTACGTTGTGACGTTTGGTAGCACACAAAGTGTTCCTCCGGTAAACGGGAGTTGCATAATTTCATAGTCATAGGAACATGTATAAGTCATGAAGAAAGCAATAGCAATAAACTAAACGATCAAGTGCTAAGCTAACGGAATGAGTCATGTCAATCACATCATTCTCCTAATGATGTGATCCCGTTAATCAAATGACAACTCATGTCTATGGTTAGGAAACATAACCATCTTTGATCAACGAGCTAGTCAAGTAGAGTCATACTAGTGACACTCTATTTGTCTATGTATTCACACATGTATCATGTTTCCGGTTAATACAATTCTAGCATGAATAATAAACATTTATCATGATATAAGGAAATAAATAATAACTTTATTATTGCCTCTAGGGCATATTTCCTTCAGAGACTCCTCTAAAATGTTTGGAATATGGTGAGTGAAGTCAGCTATTTTCTCCGTAGTGTGGTTGAGCTATCTTAGAGTATGTATTTCGCTTGTTCATCAAGTGAAAGTTAAGACTTTGTGCTGGTCTTTGACTGTTATGTCATGTTGTGTTGTGTTGTATTATGTTTTGTACATGCTCTAAGTGTTGTTTATTTCTTCAAGGTAGGCCCTATGTGTGGCGATGAGATCTGATGTTGAAAGTGCTTAGTGGCAGCGCGCGTTGTCTGGATACATGTATCTTTTGATCAGATGTTGAATTGAAACCCCGTGATGTTAGTGTGGGTCATGGCAAGCCCCTTTTGCCTACAACTCTGAATTGTATATTTTAATCAGGGGTTCAACCCTTGTTGTCATGTACTCTGAACTGTATATTTTAATTAGGAGTACCTGTTAGTATGTTGTGTATGTTTGATGTGCACCATTTCAGTTGTCAGCAAACCAAATATCAAGGTGACAAGCAGAAACTACCGAATACACAGTACAAATGCCACGGATAATGCAAGATAAACCCATTTTATTTTTTATTTTTGGTCCAACTCAATACAACACAAGGTTTGAACATGTCTGTGTCGTTTGGTTGACTGCAAAATTTTATATATAAAAAAGGAAAAGTGTGACCTGTGTTGAAAAACAAGCTGAGTATATATATAAAAAATCTTTTGAGAGCACTTAACGTTGTCTCTTTTACTGGGAAGCATCAATGTACCATTTTGCATGACTTTTTTCATAGCAGACTCTAAAAATGAACCGGTACAAACAAGGTTTCTTTTTTCTGTTTTTATTTTACTGTTCGTCCCAAAATACCTTCTCTTGGAGTCTTCACTTTTTCTCTTTTCAAGATGAAGTTGGAGCCTACCCCGCTCTACTGAAATTTGTTTTTTCGTTCTTTCTCTGTTGCGAGCAGACATTATAGACAGAAAATAGTTGCTACACGTTGGCAGTGCAGAATTTCATCATCTGTCATGTACTCTCTACATTGATTGTAATAACATCTTATATTATAGGACGAAGAGAGTACAATACTACTGATCCCTTTAAATGAGCTTTTCGCAAAGCACATAGTCGATAGTTCCTTCCGAAAAAAAGGAAAAAATAGGTCAGAACTTTCATTTTTCATTCATTCCCTGTACAGCGTGGTAGTCCTTCCTAAAACATGAGCACAAGTCATGTGCCGTTTGACGGTTTTATGTGTGATGACGATTGCAGCTGCTTGTTAGGTGGTCTAGCTTCTACTGCATTCACCGGTTGATGTTTATGTTACTTACCATCTAATTAAACAGTTGGCCCAGGACTGAGGTGTTTTTGTGCAAAATTTGTATAATAAGGTACGTTGACAGGGAGATAAATCAACAATATCAGTCAGACATTCAGCCATTTAGAGGGTAACCATGCAGAAGGTCAGGACATTTTCATCAACATCCATCATGGTCATCTGATGATCTGGAAAAGGGAGTACATATGATGATCAGCGGAAGGCAACACCTGCAAGCACATCTTCTGCTACATATGTAACTTGCGACGATCATGTCGGCTGCTCAGTCCTTCACAAGGCTCGATTATTATGCAGACACCACTACATTTACATGGCTGTTCTGAACCTGATGAGAATCAAGTGTGAACAGCCCGAAAGCAAAAGGCTAAGGGGGTATACAGAAACACGCCAACACACACCCCATACATCAGATTATCGGAAGTAGACCTATTAGCATATACACATACAGCTCTTGCAGACGACTGAAGAAACAGAAAAAGTAGGAGTGCCGTTCTTGCAAGGGAAGCAGACTAGCGGACGAAACTCCAGACATGGTCAGCTAGTTGGGTGAATTATGGGCATGTTAGGTTTTGCCCTTGGTCTTTTTTCTTGATTTCAGGTCAATAACAATGACACTAATGTTGTCCCCGCTCCCTTTCGACAGCGCTAGCCTCACGAGACAATCAGCGGCTGCTTTTGCAGCAGGGTTCATAGTGGGTTCGCTGCCTCCATCAGAATTCGCACCGTCGTTATTATTCTTGTACCACAGAAGGATCTGTCGCCGGGCAACTTTGCATGCGTCCTCATTTGACATGACATCCCAGAGACCATCGCTTGCTAGAATGAGGCAGTCGTCATCTTTTGCCCGAGCAACAATGCTGACTTCTGGCTTTGGAATCAGAAATGGTTTCAGGTATCGGTCACCTGCAAGTAGATAGGATTGGCTATTTCCACTGTAAGTTAATATGCCATAAGAAGCTTCTGATTGATGCTACCCATGCACGGAGTAATTGCTGGTTTAACTGCTTATGTCAATTAAATTTCATATATAACAGAAAGAACAGAGTTTTGTCCCAAGTTTTAAAAATAAAAGCATTCAGACAGTAGCAGCTATAACAAGTGCAACTAATATCCAGTATTACTATTACCCATGGTGGCACATTCACAACTACCAGAGCCAGTTGCACAAATAGTAGCATAAGTATACAGGGTACCTTTGTTCCTTCAATAAGGGGGACTTTTTACTTTTGCCTCCTTAAGTACATCAGTATCCTAATCCAAATACTTTGACAGGATCATATTTAAGTTCACTGACAACTTTGTCCCCATCCCCAAATTTTTCCAGGAATGGAACCACAACATAATCGAGGAACACAGACTAAACCTAAAACATGACTTTTGTCCGATGAAAACATGCTGTTGGCAGCAGTTGCAAGTCGCCAGTATATGAAACAGAGCATTACCTTAGGGTTATAATTTACCGCCTGAAATGAGCTAATGTAATAATGTGACAGCATGTGATCTCGTAAATTGGAACAGCATCTGGAAGAAACATCTGACCTCATAATAAAATGCATATGCATGCCAACATAATTTGTAAAGAAAAAAATATCCAACTAAGAATTATGATGGAAATTGTGACACAAATTCAGTTTAATGTTTGACATAATGGTCCAGTACCAAAGACTTAGGAGTATTGCAAAATATTAAGATGATGGTAACTGGCTTTTCTTCTTTTTGACAATACGAGGATTGATGGTTTGATATAGGCTCCTAGTGGTTCAGGTATCATCACTTACTGACATCCCAAACATATGCAGAAATATGCCGATATGGCCATAGACCTACAACTATCTCCTACTATGGATATTTGGCTGAACCAAATAAATTAATGCCATATATGCTGAACAGTTTTACAACATGTCCTTGTACAAGCTTACTTTTTGTGACACTTTTTTTTGTCCTAAGTTCCTAGCTTACAGAGAGATGCATCCTGGAGTTGCTAAAGTGCATTGTTCTAGAGCTCATGATAATAAATTAATAATAGTCATGTTGGGACTCGTGGTCAAAAAGTAACAAAAACATCTTAAGACCTTAATTGCATTCCAAAATGGCTTTACAGCTTGCTTGACATCATCAATAATTTTGCCCAGATAATAAGCTTGGGCGTGCAAAACCAGAAAACTTACCGATTGACCGTGACATTGCGAGAATACCAGAGACACGATAACCATTCCAGTCAATGACCTTCCCACCAGCGGCCTCAATCCTGGCACGCTCATCTTTCCTATCAGGCTAGAACACGCAAGCATAATCAGATACAATTTGCCTCAACTTATAAACTTAGCTGAACAGTAAAGTCCAGTACGTACTTTGTGATCGACGGACAGAGCAATCGGCTCCTTCCCACGGCAGAGCACCACGCGTGAATCTCCACAATTTGCAGTTATGACATGAGAAGAGCAGACAATGGCAACAACGGCGGTGGAACCGACGTTATCAGCAGTAATAGGCTCCGGACGGAGCTCCGTGGCGCCATTGGAAAACCTGATGGCTTTCCCCGACACCTCCTCGTCTACCTTCTGGAAACAATCACCAAAAACCTTCTCCCATGGTTCTTTCACGTCCACCTCCCCTACTTCCCCCAATTCCTCCAACCCCCTGCCAGCTTTCAGCACCTCTCTTAACACAACGTGGATCTTATCCCGGCAGTAGTTCGCGACCTGGAAAGACATGATCAAGCATGAGCAAGAGCGCCTCGCCTCAAGACTAATGTGTTTCGTCTGGGCCAGGAGTCACAAGAGAAGATAACCTCACCTCCGAGCCGCCGTGTCCATCGTACACGCCGAAGAGGTGCGCCGGAAGCCGGAGCTCCGCGGCGTCGAAGTCACCCCCGATCCCGTCCAGCTCACGGCTGCTCGCGAGCATCCGCGCCGGCAGGGCAGCGAAGCGCGGCACGGCGGCGCACGCGTCCTCCATCTCCGCGGCGCGGCCGCGCGCCGCGGCGCAGCCCCACAGCGGCACGCACTCCATAAGGTACACGCTCCTCTTAGCGCACCCGTCCCCCGCGGCACGCGCCCTGCTCCCGAGATCCGGCGGCCTCTCGATCCCGCCGGCGCATTCCGCCGAGCACCCCCCGCGCGCGGCGGTCCCCTCCCCGGCGAACACCGCAGTCGCCATCACTAGCTCACGGCAGTATCAACAGCCCCAAACCACACCAGCGCCCGCCGCACCACGCGCCTGAGCAGCCCACCGCCGTGTCAGCCAGGGAGAGCGCGAGCCGTGGCCTCCTGTGCGAGAATCAAGGGGGCAGCAATGGAGAAAGAGAGAGAGCGCGCGAGGGAAAGTAAAGAGAGAGTGGTGACGAGGAGGGTTGGTGCTGGGCCGGGGAGTACGTGTACCGGGTGGGCGCGGGGGCGTGGGAAGCTGCGAGTGGCGGACGACGGCGTTGTGTGTTCGGGGCAGGAGGAGCGGATGCGGGTGAGGGAGCAAGGCACGAGGTACAAGGAAGCGAGGTGGTGGAACGCGATTGGGCGCGCCGGGGAGAACAGGTGTCGCGTCTAGACGCTGCTGCCGCTGGGTCTGGATGGAGTCGAGTGGAGTGGACCTGATGGGTGGGTCTGTTGCTCACTCGTGATTTTGGTGTCTGCTATGCTACTTGCCTACTTGCACCGTTCCATGGCTAAGGCCGTCTCCAGCGCACGACCCCAAATTATCCGGAGCTGTCAGTTTAGAGTTAAATGGACATATGAAACATCCCAACACGCGATTTTATCCGTAAAAAATGTCTTTTTCTCGTCTGGCTCGCCTCATTCTGGGCGTAAACTTGATATGTCTTTGCGTCTGAAACGGACACAAACGGACAATTTTGCGTCGTCCTCGTCGGGGGCGTGTCCTCTACATGTGACCCCCTGGCCCGCCTGTCATTGAAACCAGAGGGGCCCGCCTGCCCACCCACTCATCCCTCTCTCTCCTCTTTTCTCTACTTTTCCCAACCATGCCGGCTCCGGGCTCTAGCACGGCAATGCCACCACCAGCACCCGCCGGCCCCAGTACTCTCGGGGCTGCTCGGCTGACAGAGAGCACGGCGGATGGAGGTGTGGCGAGATGCGGGCACGGTGCACAGCGAGCCGAAGCGAGATGCTGCGGTGCGACGGAGACGGGGGCAAGCTGAAGGAAATATGCCCTAGAGGCAATAATAAAGTTGTTATTTATATTTCCTTATATCATGATAAATGTTCATGCTAGAATTGTATTAACCGAAAACTTAGTATATGTGTGAGTACATAGACAAAACAGAGTGTCCCTAGTATAACTCTACTTGACTAGCTCGTTAATCAAAGATGGTTAAGTTTCCTGACCATAGACATGTGTTGTCATTTGATGACCAGGATCACATCATTAGAGAATGATGTGATGGACAAGACCCATCCACTAGTAGAAAAAGGTCAAATGTTTAGCTCATTAATCTCGGTTTGTATTTGAGCCGACACTAATATGACCAATAGTGACGGTTCCAACGGCTAGGCGCGCGGCGCTCATTAGTACCGGTTTCTGGCGAACCTTTAGTACCGGTTCGTGCCACGAACCGGTACTAAAGAGGTGGTGGCCTTTAGTACGGGTTGGTGGCTCCAACCCGTACTAAAGACCCCCCTTTAGGGCGTGTTCGGAAGCCCTCTGGCTTCTGAAATCCTCGTATCCAGCCTCGGAGTCCAGCCGAACGGTTCCAATCCTGGTTATTGGGCCGAGAAGCTGGCTCTCCACTACGTGCAAAATTGACGGAGTGGCGGAGCTGGGAAAAGCTGGCTCCACGAAAACTGGGAAGCGAGAGTTGGATCAATTTACAACTGATTGCCACCGCGAAGTGACCGTAGGTACCGCTTCGAGGCAACGCTCGTCTCCTCCCTCGAGTCGATGCACTGCTCCCCCGTTCCCCTCCACGCCCGCGACGAACCCTAGCGTGCCGCCACAACCATCCAACCGGCGCGAGAACCAGCGACCGCCCTCCCCACCACCGCGCTCGCCCTCCTCCGCCTCCCTTCTGACCGCAACTCGACCCCGCCGTCCCCGACCGGAGCTCTTCCCCGCCGTCCCCGACCGGAGCTCTTCCCCGCCGTCCCCGACCGGAGCTCTTCCCCGCCGCTCCGACCAGAGATCGACCCCGCCATCCCCAACCACCGGAGCACGCAGGCTGCGTCGACGAGCTTGTCCCCGACCTCCTTCTCTGTCTCCTCGAGTACCTCGTCCGTGTCTTGAAAAAAATAATTGAATTCATGTCACAGTAGCCCACGTATGCCCAGGCCAAAGAGAAAGGAGGCCTGCTAAAATGGGCCGAATAAGCACTTTCTGGCCTTTTGGCCTCGTCGATCGCTGGTTGCGAGAAGCTGCCGCACCGAACAGATCGTTAGTTCCAGGAGTTTACGTGAGAAGCTGGCGGCTGGATCTGGGCCACGGATTTGAGGATTTTGCAACCGTGGGAAACTACCGAACACGCCCTTAGTACCGGTTGGAGGCACCAACCAGTACTAAAGGTGGTGGCCTTTAGTACGGGTTGGTGGCTCCAACCGGTACTAAAGACCCCCCCTTTAGTACCGGTTGGAGCCACCAACCGGTATTAAAGATGGTGCGCTGCCACCCGCAGTGCATAATGTTTAGTCCCACCTTGCTAGTTGAGAGGAGCTCGCACCGGTTTATGAGCCCCGCCGCGGCTACCGTGTCGAGCTCCTGTCTAAGCAGGCCTTTGTGGGCCTATTGCAAGTCTTCTGCCCTGTGGGGCCTACTGGGCCGTACGGGCCTGCATCCTGGCCCAACTAGAGGTTGGGTTTCTAGTCGTATGCAGGCCGTGCCGGCCCAGTAGGCGGGTTGTTTTTACTTTATTTCAAAAAAAACCCGGTACTAAAGGTCCCTCAGACCACGGCGCGCCTCGTGCCATGTGGTGGGCCTTTGGTCCCGGTTCATGTTGAATCGGGACTAAAGGGGGGACCTTTAGTCCCCACTCTTTAGTGCCGGTTCCAGAACCGGTACTAAAGGTCCTTACGAACCGGTACTAAAAGTCGTTTTTCTACTAGTGATCCGTTAGCTTAGCATAATGATCGTTAAGTTTTATTGCTATTGCTTTCTTCATAACTTATACATATCCCTCTCACTATGCGATTATGCAACTCCCGAATATCGGAGGAACACCTTGTGTGCTATCAAACGTCACAATGTAATTGGGTGATCATAAAGGTGCTCTACAGGTGTCTCTGAAGGTATTTGTTGGGTTGGCATACATCAAGATTAGGATTTGTCACTCCGAGTATCGGAGAGGTATATCTGGGCCCTCTCGGTAATGCACATCACTATAAGCCTTGCAAGCAATGTAACTAATGAGTTAGTTGCGGGATGATGCATTACAGAACGAGTAAAGAGACTTGCCGGTAACGAGATTGAACTAGGTATGATGATACCGATGATTGAATCTCGGGCAAGTAACATACCGATGACAAAGGGAATAACGTATGTTGTTATTGCGGTTTGACCGATAAAGATCTTCGTAGAATATGTAGGAACCAATATGAGCATCCAGGTTCCGCTATTGGTTATTGACCGGAGATGTGTCTCGGTCATGTCTACATAGTTCTCGAACCCGTAGGGTCCGCACGCTTAACGTTTGATGACGATTTGTATTATGAGTTATGTGTTTTGGTGACCAAAGTTTGTTCGAAGTCCCGGATGAGATCATGGACATGATGAGGAGTCACGAAGTGGTTGAGAGGTAAAGATTCATATATTGGAAGGTAGTATCCGGACATCGGAATGTTTCTGAGTGATTCGGGTATTTTACGGAGTACCGAGGGGTTACCAGAACCCCCTGGGGAAAGATATGTTGGGGAGCGCAGTAATTTCAAAAAAAATCCTACGCACACGCAAGATCCGTCTAGGTGATGCATAGCAACGAGAGGGGAGAGTATGTCTACGTACCCTCATAGACCGTAAGCGAAAGCGTTATGACAACGCGGTTGATGTAGTTGTACGTCTTCACGATCCGAACGATCCTAGCACCAAAGGTACGACACCTCTGCGATCTGCACACGTTCAGCTCGGTGGCGTTCCACGAACTCTTGATCCAACTGAGTGTCGGGGCAGAGCTTCGTCGGCACGATGGCGTGATGACGGTGATGATGAAGTTACCGACGCAGGGCTTCGCCTAAGCACTACAACAATATGACCGAGGTGAAAATCTGTGGAGGGGGGCACCGCACACGGCTAAGATATCAACTTGTGTGTGTATGGGGTGCCCCCTCCCCCGTATATAAAGGAGTGGAAGAGGGGGAGAGTCGGCCCCTCTATGGCGCGCCCAAGGGGAGTCCTACTCCCACCGGGAGTAGGATTCCCCCGCTTACCTAGTTGGATTAGGAGAGGAATGAAGGGGGAGAGAGGGGGAAGGAAAGGGGGGGCACCCAATTCGGATTGGGCTTGGGGGGGGGGGTCGAGCCCCCTCCTAGGCTCCCTTCTCCTCTCTCCCACTATGACCCAATAAGGCACGTATACTTTCCCGGGGGTTCCGGTAACCTCCCGGTACTCCGGTATATGCCCGAACTAACTCGGAACCATTCCGATGTCCAAACATAGGCTTCCAATATATCGATCTTTATATCTCGACCATTCAGAGACTCCTCGTCATGTCCGTGATCATATCCGGGACTCCGAACTACCTTCGGTACATCAAAACACATAAACTCATAATACCGATCGTCACCGAATGTTAAGCGTACGGACCCTACGGGTTCGAGAACTATGTAGACATGACCGAGACTCATCTCCGGTCAATAACCAATAGCGGAACCTGGATGCTCATATTGGTTCCTACATATTCTACGAAGATCTTTATCGGTTAAACCGCATAACATCATAAGTTGTTCCCTTTGTCATCGGTATGTTACTTGCCTGAGATTCAATCATCGGTATCCCAATGCCTAGTTCAATATCATTACCGGCAAGTCTCTTTACTCGTTCCGTAATGCTACATCCCGTAACTAACACATTAGATACATTACTTGCAAGGCTTATAGTGATGTGCATTACCGAGAGGGCCCAGAGATACCTCTCCAAAACACGGAGTGACAAATCCTAATCTCGATCTATGCCAACTCAACAGACACCATCAGAGACACCTGTAGAGCATCTTTATAGTCACC